TTTGTGTGTGTGGGTGTGTTTGTTTGTTTGTTTTGTGGTGCTCACAAAACTTAGCCAGGTCCTCTCAAATGTAATGTTATGACCAGCAACAGGACAACCTGACCCTTGTTAGGCCAGAGATTTATATTAAAGAGCGAGCAAGCCCGTCCATTGTGATAAAGCATCTGCCTCGGGGCGCTGTGCTCATGCCCCAGCGTCCTTGCCTAGATCTAGACGGCAAAGGGGCTTCTGCCTGCCTGGGCTTAATTCTGCTGTAGGAGAAAGGGGGGCGATGAGCCCAGACGTCTCTTGGTTTTTCCATTCTGAAGAACAGAACTGGCAAGACAAGACGGGAGGAGCAGCCTTTGAGAGGCAATTAGGGAGAAGTTCCGGGGTGTTGTCAGGGCAGACTGTCAGTCAGTGCTGGGGTGGTGGAGGCGCAGTTTCTCATGGTTAGTTCTGCTGAGGGGCCCCCCGGCACACGCTGCCTGCCGTGTTAGGGTGACCGAGGTCTCACTACCCAGCCTCCACTGTAGTAATTCCGGTGTTTCCCTCCCTCACCGGGTCGGTCCGGGGCTCCCCGAGCAATCCTTGATTGCTTACCGGTAATAGGGAGCTGAGATGAAGGCGACAGAAGCAGCGGTGGAGTACCACAGCTGTGGGTGCTATGGTAACAAACGCGGGAAATTACCCTCTGATTGATGGATAGAGTGGGCCTGATGTCATTTGCCGCTCCAGATTCGCAAGAACGAAAGTAGAAGCTGGTCCGCTGGGGGTTCCTGACAACGAAGATAAAACATATTTTGAGAATTCCGTGTAAATTCTGCATCCCATTCTTTTAGCTGTGACAAGGATAGGGTTATGTTTCTGCCTCTGGGGAAAACACCGTAGGATGAGCTTGTTCTTTTCTTGCCAGGTGGATTTAGCTGAGGCGGTGGATGGCGCCGCCTCGCGGCAAGTCTGCGCCACTGCAGGGCATCTGAAACCTTCCTGCACATAGGAAAAGCCGGTCATTTCTCTCTGTCTCTGTCTTTGTCTGTCTGTCTCTCTCTCTTTGTCTCTGTCTCTCTCTCTCTCTCTCACACACACACAAATGTGATTCAGATCACAGAAGAGTCTTTAAATTTTTTTAAAGTGTTCTCTCATTACAGTATTGCAGTAGAGAAATATGCTTTCTATATATTTTAGTTTCAATGTCTCAGCCACTTTCTATTTTCACATTTAAACTGTATTTAAGTATTTTTCCAAATTCAATTCTGGGGGTAGGAGAAAGCTCAGTTATTTAAAGGAGGCAGAAAAAAAACAAAAACAAAAAACAAGAAACCCAAACCTCAGTAAGATTATGAACCTTGAAGTCAAAAGACAAATTTAAAGAGATAAGATATTGCCAGAATAAAACACAAAGAAAATATAACAGACCACAAAATTAAATGTGTGGAATGCAAGACCACAAATGTGCAGCTGTTCTGTCTCCTTTCTGTGGAACCTGGTATTTACAGGTGTCCAATAATCCAAGTTCAGATCCTTCCTGCTTGCAACAGCTTCGTCTTCTACCTTCAAATGTCTGCCTTTGGGAGGGGCTCACGTCATGGGGAACAAAATTTAGGATGTCTAGATTCTTCCAGAAGCTATGGAAATACATGCCTAGTGCAAGACTCTCTCGTCTGTACAGTCAGTGAATGTCACTAAGCCCATGGAATGAACACTCAGACATAAGAATTTCCCCTCAGACAGACACACACAGCCCAGTCCAGTCTGATGGCTACAGGGAGATGGCCGAACTGCAGTGGAGGCTGGGGATTTCCCACTTATCTGGGTGCAGAGCCGAGAATATGGGCTGAGGTGCATCCTGTGTGCTGACAGATAGCCTGAAAGAGTTTGTGGGCACACTCGCACAGCTCCAGATTTGTAGGTGGCAGTGTGCTACCCTCCACAAGCCTGCTGCTCTCCACAGCTTTGGGGAAATTCTGACACGCCTCCAGTGAACCTTCTGTTTTACATCCTACAGCTTGCATGATCTGAGAGGAGAAATTAAACAGCATAGACCGGGAGAGCTGAGGAGTCTGAGCCTGGAATACTGGTAGGGACTGGAGTTGAGCTAATCCCAAGAGGAGTTCAAGCTGAATCAGAGGGATCCAGAGGTCACCCCTCCAGGTCATCAAGGCTGTGTCCAGAGCAATTCAGGGGCCTGTGTGGAGAACACTGGTTGGTGCCCTTAAGGAGGCTTTCCTGACATCGGGCCTCAACTGTCCTTGAACCTGGCAAGGAACTCACATTCTCTGTTTCTGGCATCCATATGCACTCATGTGGGGACTCCAGAAGGAGCTAGCTCTGTCAGGCTGGTCTGTTGAAAATGTGGAATTTCAGATTAGGTAAGGAAACGTAGCGAAGTCAGGTTTATCAGATAGGGAGGACGGGATTCAGAGCCGGAGGACGGCATTCCTTGACCTGTCTGCCTGTTTCACACACACTTGAGATGTTTCCGTGAAGGAGCAACCCCAATTCTGCCGCTGCCGCAAACTGAACCTGCTTGACCACAGCTATTATCCCACAGTTATAGAGTAAGTCTGGCCACCCCAGCGCTCCTTTAAACCGTGGGATGCATTGCCGAGTTCAGGATCGTGAAAAATCAGTAACAGGGAAAGGTTTCTGACTGCATTCACCCCAAAATAATTCAAAAGCAAGTATGAATTCTCGATATTTCTGTCAGGGCTCCCCAGATTTGTCTTGTAACTTCAATGAACACACAGTAGGGGTACACTCTCACTGTGTAGCATCAATAAACCCAGGCTCACATTAGAGACTGTCATATGCTGAGAATTTTGGTTTTTTTGTTTTGTTTTGTTTTTTGGTTTCGAGACAGGGTTTCTCTGTGTAGTTTTGGTGTCTGTCCTGGAACTCATAGACCAGGCTGGCCTTGAACTCACAGAGATCTGCCTCTCTCTGTTTCCCAAGTGCTGGGATTAAAGGCGTGCGCCACCACTGCCATCATGTCTCAACACACCAATCTCTAATTTATGTATACTAGAGTTGTCTTGTTTTAGAACACTTGATTGTATAAATCACTGTTTGAGTTATCAGCTTCAGTTTCACAAAAATTACCAAAAGAATTTTGGCTTCAGATTAGGACAGAATTTTCATCAGTTTCTGAAATGGTCTTAAACATGGTTCTGTTACTTTGTACTAAAGATTTATGCAAAGTGACATTTTCAGCATTATGACTGCTGAATCAAAATATTGATCAGCTCTGGAAAATGTCGAAGATGCTGCATCCTGCAGTATGAAATATCTACCCAAGATTCAGTTCTTTATGCAAAAATAAATAAGCACACCCATCTCATTAGTGTGCCCATTGGCTTTCAGCTTTTATGAATAAGCAAAATTCAGTGCTTACTAAAAAAGAATCATAAAACAAATTTCTTTATGACTTATTATCAATGATGTTAATAATGTTAAAATGTCTAGAATGAAAAGGGATCAAAAATGGAAAAAGTTTAAGAATCCTTGTCTAGTCTGATACTGCTTTTCCAAGTCTGTTATTGCAAAAGCAAGAATAATTCCACACTTCACAGCTATTGGTCCAGCATTCATGTCACAAGTGGGACAGGAACTGCCAGTCAGCTGCCTGAACAACCAGCTCACGAGAAATGTCTCTGTTGTTTGCTAGAGCAGGGAAAGTCCTTCCATGAGCTCACAGAACTAAAGCCCATGGCTTCTACCTCTTCCTTGAAGGTTGACATCATTCACAAAATCTCCCGGCTCCTCATACCACACATCACATAAAAAATGGATGCTACAAGTATTTTGCAACATGGACCTTTTTTCTTCTTTCTGTCTATCTTTGCTTTTTTTTTCTTTTTTCCTTTTCTTAGGTTAAATAAAAACCAAGACTGTCTAGCTCTCTGTTCCTGGAAAAGCTTGTGGTCAGATGGCCAGCTCTGCCAGCCAGATGGAAAGTGAGATTTTCAGATCCCACCCTCTGTCTCTTGAACACTTGCTGGCTCTTGATCTTATTCCCCCCACTCCCAGACAACACACACACACACACACACACACACACACACACACACACACACACACACACACGAGCACAGAGATATATCCCTGTCATCAAAAGACAGTCAAAGCTTCTGATGTGTATCACTAAACATGGCTATGACTCTAACTGACATTGTTCTATGTATTATAGCTCTCATATAAGATATAATAATTATATTATAGCAACATATAACTAATGTATGTATAAAATTCTAGATTTTAAAATTAACTTTAAATCTCAGTCCATGAGTTAGAATTTCAACATGACAAAAAGAAACAACTATATTTGTGTGTGTGTGTGTCAGTGTGTGTGTGTGTGTGTGTGTGTGTGTGTGTGTGTGTGCGCACAGGGAAAGGTGTGAATTCAGTGTAGGTGAGACAGCAGCAGGGTACTTCACTGCCCCAAGAGAAAGCCGTCTCCCAGATAGTCATACTTGAGGCGTTAGAAGTTAGCGCTTCAGGGTGTGGTTCTTAGCGGGCACTGCTCAACAGAACTTAGGTATGCATTTGAAAGGGGGGAATGTGGGCACATACATGTGCATGGTGTAAAAACAGTGTGAAGACGACTTCCGGAGAAGATGGTCTGTGATACGACAAGATCAAAGACCCGAGGCCTCCTCGAGGGATGACCCTGACAACAGTCTCCTGGCACTCCAGCCCCAGACAAGACACAGCAGGCTCCTCCTCTTCAAGTCAGAAGATGGGGACGTCCACAGCGTCTGTGTCTACACTGCCTGTTACAGCAGCCTCCACTGATGAGGGCAGCGAGTAACGGCTTGCGAGTTTGAAATAAAACAGATACTCATCACGGCTCACGCTAGAATAAATTCTACCCTTTACATGAGGAAAAAAAAATTGTAGGCTTTAAAAATTCACCCAGATTAGAGGGCATGGAGTGACAGTGAGATTTTAGAATCAAGGAGATCTGAGCTCTGGGGCAAGGACGAGGACATTGAGACCAGAGTGAGCCATATTGCTGATCACAAGGCATGGACATTACAGTTCTCTTTAAGATAGATGATAGAGTGATCTCTGAAATTTCATGAGTATTTTTTGATGGAATTTAACACCACAGTAAATCTGTAGTGTGCTCTGTGTGTGGTATCCAGACCCCCCCCCCACCACCACTTGTCAATCATTAGAATATTTGGCCCTGAGTCTGGGAACCCTTCAGTGCAGGGTGAGACCATAGTGAACATTTTTCAAACAGCTCAGCCACTCTGGGGATTATGCTGAGGGTCGCTCAGAACCTAAACTGATCCAGGTAATCATGCCTTTCTGGAGGGAGAAAAGTTGGAAAGAAAATCTAGCTAAGTAGATTCTTATTATGTTTTAATTTAGTCTGTGAGAATTTGATACATGTATGCAATGAAATAAGGTCATATCCATCCCTCCAAGATCACCCAGAATTGCCCTCTTCCCATATCCGTATCCATATCTTTTTCCTTGAATGACCCATCCACTAAGTCTGATTAGAGATCTCTTTATGCATGGGTGTGGGGCACCATGGGAACCCACCAGTTTCTTACCTCTACAACACTTTGTCTTCCATTTGGAACTATTTCTTCTGTCATTTTTAGACTGATTTCATAGGCTTCTCCAATAGTTTTGAAAGGAATTATAGTTTAACAGTTTTGTAGAATGTATTATTTTTATTTCACTTTCCCTAAATCCACTCTACTATTTCCAGGCATCTTCATTATTTTTTTCAGAACTTTATGTATGATGTTGTATATAAATATATATATATATATATATATATATATTTATAAATTGTATATATAAATTATATATATATATATAAAATTTACATCCCTACCTCTACTT